GGCTCCCTGGGGAAGCCCACGGAGGTGCCGGCCAGGGTTTGGCTGTTGAGAAGTCCCGCGGAAAGCCCCGGAGCTCCCTTCCCTAGAGAGGAATTGGAATGGGAATGGGAATTGTTCCTGTGTCGGGTCCAGGGCGCTGCCGGCGCTGGCCCGCCAGGGGGAGCTGCAGACCCGCGGGATGCGGGGTTTGGGAAATGCGGGATTTGGGAAAATCGGGAGCGGGAGAAGGGCTCGAACTGATGAGGCGTCTCCGCTGCTCCCACCCCAGATCTGGAGAATTGAAGGCTCCGAGAAGGTGCCGGTGAATCCCGCGACCTATGGGCAGTTCTACGGCGGGGACAGCTACATCATCCTGTACGACTACCAGCACGACGGCAGGAAGGGCCAGATCATCTACACCTGGTGAGGGGGCTCTGCAGGCTGAGCCCACCCGGAAAATAGATCAGTGCTGCTCCCCACCTACAGAGGAATCTTGTGGGGGATAAAATTTCACCCTGGATTAGCATCCCTTGCAAACCAAACGCTCCCTCAGAGGTGTGGGATGGTTCATTTGAAGTGCAACAATGGAGGGAATTCCTGTGCTAGTTTTTTTTAGCTTCCCCCCTCCCCAGTAGAAGTTACTCCCTTCTCTGGATCAAGCTCTGCTGCTTTTTGCAGAGTTCCTACACATTTGAAATCCCTGTAAGGAACTTTTGATACTCTGCTGTTGTGAGTGGGACAGTTCCCAGCCCGTGTCCTTATGGAGGAGTTTTCCAGTCAGGCTCACGGGTGGTGGTTTTGCTGCTCCTCAACACAGAGGGCACAGGCAGAACCCCTGAGTGAACCCAGGAGGGCACAGCCTGCACAGGGGCTGCTCATGTAATGCCTGATCCCAGTGCCAGCAGCTGTGTACTTAAACTGGCTGCTGGAATGGGAGACTGGCCTGGAGATCCTGCAGAGTCTGTGCTGCTTCCCTAGGAAAGGGTCTTGTCTCCCCCTGTAATCCCTGTCCTTCAGCACAGGATAATTAATGAGCATCTCCTTCCTGTTGAACAAGTGCTGCAGAGGTTTGGTGACACAGGTTTCCCTTAACTCCTCTGGATCTCTCTAAGAGGGGGGGGTGTGTGTGTGGAGGGGCTGAAAATAAAGCTGGAATTTGGCCTTGTCTCCCAGGCAGGGAGCTGACTCCACACAGGATGAGATTGCAACCTCTGCCTTCCTCACGGTGCAGCTGGATGAGGAGCTGGGAGGCAGCCCTGTGCAGGTAAAGGAACAAACACCACCCAGCAGAAACCAAGCCCCAGCTCTGTGGGAATAAATAATGCAGATATCACAGTCCTGCCCCCAGCTGGGTGCTGTGTGGACATTCCAGCTGCAAAGGCCGTTTCTGGTGCCTCTCGTGCTGCTCAGAACTGACTGAGGCGTTTCTTTCTCTGCAGAAACGAGTGGTGCAAGGGAAGGAGCCGCCTCACCTGATGAGCATGTTTGGGGGAAAGCCCCTGATTGTTTACAAGGGGGGCACCTCGAGGGAAGGAGGGCAGACAGCACCTGCTGACACGCGGCTCTTCCAGGTCCGCTCCAGCACCTCCGGAGCCACCAGGGCAGTGGAGGTACGTGGAGCATGCACAGCCCTGATGGGAACGGGAGCCCAGGGAACAGGGCTGGGCTGTCCTGACTTGTGCTGAGCCCATTGTGTGACAACAATGCTGAAGGCAGGAAGAGCGGAATTCCCTCTGTGGAAGTGGAACTGCTGCCAGGACACGGGTTCGGACTCCCACTCCTCCGAAAGGACGTGCACACAAAACCCCTGTGCAGCAACACAGATTAAATCCCAGTGAGCAGGCACAGGGGAGGTGAGGGTGCTGGTTTGTGACTCCAGTAACTGCCCAGGTTTCCAGCTGCAAGATGCCCTGTCCTTGTTGGCACAGAGGAGAAGGTGTTAATGACTGATCAGTGTCCCAGCAGGGAACTGCCCTGCCAGGGGCTCCCCAGGGGTTCCTACATCTCCTGCCATAGCCATGACTGGCAGAGTGACAGAGCCATGTCCTGTGCACCTGTAGATCACACAGAAACAGTTATTTACTCTTCCTACGTGGCAAGTCTAACTCATCACTTGGATATGGGGAACACACAACACATCTTTTACAGCCTTACAAACTCACAGGGAGTGTCTTGTTTGCAGTTTATTCAACAACAGGTTCTGGTTTTAGTTTGACCTAATGGGCTCTGTGTAGGGGACGATTACATCTGACACCTGCAATGTTCCTTCTTTTCAGCTGGATCCTACTGCCAGTCAGCTGAACTCCAACGATGCCTTTGTCCTGAAGACTCCCTCTGCTGCCTACCTTTGGGTGGGCCAAGGAGCCAGCAACGCTGAGAAATCGGGAGCGCAGGAGCTGCTGAAGGTGCTGGGAGCTCGCCCAGTGCAGGTGTCTGAGGGCAGAGAGCCAGGTGAGGGGTTCACAGGGTCAACCCCCCCCCGCCATGGTTTCCATGAACAGGTGAGGCAGCAATCTCTCCTTTGCAGACGCTTTCTGGGCAGCGCTGGGGGGGAAGGCCCCGTACCGCACCTCCCCCCGCCTCAAGGACAAGAAGATGGACGCCCACCCCCCTCGGCTCTTCGCCTGCTCCAACAAGAGCGGGCGCTTCACGGTGGGTATCTGAGATCAGGGACTTCAACATCCCCTGCCAAGGCTGGGAGAACTCAGTGCCAGCTGCTCTGAGTCCCCCACCCTCAGAGGGTCACCTCTGCTCTTCCTCTGTGGTGTTTTCTCCTGTACAGGCGCTTGAAGCCTGTGCTCACCTTAACCCTCTGTTTTGCAGATTGAAGAAGTCCCTGGAGATCTGACTCAGGATGACCTGGCTACGGATGATGTGATGCTCCTCGACACGTGGGATCAGGTACGTCACGTTTGCAGGGTGACAAGAGGAGCAAAGAACAGGCACAGAGTGGCTCTAGATCGAGACCCCAATTACAACAGCCACAAGTGCTGTTGTATTACAGACTGTGCACAAATAAGCCACGAGGCAACTTACTGAGCTTCAGTGTTCTATGTAAAATCCTTCAAACACCTGCTACTTCCCCCTGGTGTTAAACTGGTGTAGAATTCGTTCATGGATATGCAATTTCTGTAGATAAAATGCAGATCTCAAGCTTCTTGAGATCAAGTGATGACTTTGGTCAGGCAGGGTCAACACCCCAGGCACACCCGACACGGGGATGTTCTGGTTCTGGGTCACCCTCTGTTCACTGAGAGTTCGCCTAAATCACCCTTCAGAAAGATTGATTGTTGCTGAAATAATTAATATGCATATTTTTTTTTAGGTCTTTGTATGGATTGGGCAAGATGCCCAGGAAGAAGAGAAGACTGAGGCACTGAAATCTGGTAATGTCACGTTTGCCTCTCTGAACTGTCCCTTCCTCCCTCTCCCTCTCTGCTCACGAGGCAGGCGGTTCTAAAAGCCACAGGGTGAATGTTTTGGTGGGTGGTTGGTGAAGCGGAGCCCCCGTTTAGCCCTAATCCCGCTGTTCCTGCACGACCTGCACTCAGTGAGACCCCTCCTCCCCCTCAGCCAAGCGCTACATCGACACCGACCCGTCCACCCGCGACAAGAGGACACCCGTGACCATCGTCAAGCAGGGCTTCGAGCCCCCCACCTTCTCCGGCTGGTTCCTGGGCTGGGACGACGACTACTGGGCTGTGGATCCCCTGCAGAGAGCCATGGCAGACGTGGATGTGTGACAACAGCTCTGACACACAGCAAGTCCAGTGCCTTCAATGCCTCCGAGAGCTCCTTCCTCCAGGATGCACATTAACGAGGGAATGATGGTAAATAGCCAATTAGCTGTGCAATAACTTCCGGAAACAACCACCACCAGTCAGTGACCCTCCTCCTTGCTTTGATTATATTTAATACAATAAAGCTTGTGTGAGATAACGGGAAGAACAGAAGGGGTGGGGTTTGTTATGAAGAGGGAAACATTAAACAGCACCAATAAATCCCACCTTTCACCTTGCTCGATAGGAACTCACCTTAGAACCCAAAACCTTCTGTGTGCCATCTGTTGCACATGGACTTCTGACTAAAGAAATTATTTTGGGGGGTTTGGGATTGTTTTGCTTTCCCCTCAGCAGAATTACCAGCATTTAAGACCCTGATAAATTAGCAGTGTTCAACTCTTACAGCCACTCCTTAGTAAACAGCATGTCTTTTATTCAGATGAGAGCAAAAAGCATCTCGAGGTGTCAGCAACAATTCACAGGGGTGGCACCTGCAGCAGCAACAGCGGGAGTTACAGAGTCATCATGGTCCCCAAGGACCCACCCGGTGAGCTCAGCACTGCTCATTAGCACAGCTTTGTTAACTGATTCTCTCCCCTCCCCACCAAAAGTTAAGCTCAGCTTACAGGAACTGCTGCACTGACAAACAGAGGAGGGCACTGCTTTGGTGAGGAAAAGGAAAAGCTTTCCAGCAAACAGGCAGAAAAGCACCAGCACTTGGGCACTGCTGACAGGGACAAAGGCACAGCTGAACAGGCTTTGCCTGTGCTAAAACACCTGTAAACACAGAACTGAGCGTAGCAGAAAGGGGATAAACCCCAGGCTGTGAGGTTTATGCTGCCCAGGGGGAGAAGTGCACTTGGAGCACTGATCTTGGCTCTTTAGTTTCATTGCCACCTCCCAAAAGATCAAGGTGTAAGACTCGGTGCTGGTGGCAGCCTGAAGAGCCTCCCCCCTGCAGGCTCTAACTCCCCTCATTTCAATCTGTAATTAAATCTACTAAAGAGGTACAAACCACAAAGTTTAACAGCCAGCCAGGGTTGTGTGAGCCAAGGCTCACCTGCTTTGGGATGAAGTGACACAACCACCCCTCCAGGTGTGCACAGAGCAGCACCAGCAGGGAAAGCACCCCCGTGCTCCAACAGTGCAGCATCTTTGTGAAACACCACCCCACCCCACTAGGGACAGACATCTGACTTCTACAGAAAGAAGGCTTTAGACCTGGATAAAACACAGTACTTTGGTTTTTAAAAATTATCTTTAAGAGAAACAGTGCGTTAAAGCAGCTTAACTCTACACAGACACAGCCCTGGCAGAACACCAGCCCAGCAGTGACCACAAGCACGTTGTATCCATAACCACGGCACGTGTGTGCCGTTCCTGGGGGCACAACAGATGGAAAGTTCCACCAACAACTGTTTCTCATGAATGGGGACTGGATTAGAGAGCAGGAGCCTGATTTTCACAAGTCCCCAGGACAGTATTCTCACTCCTGCATCAACTTCCGTTACTTTTCCTTGTGTAAGGCAGAGAACCAACCTGCTGACTCCAGCACATACAGCTACACTCCAGGAGAATACAGTCAGGGCTCTTCCACTGCTCTTGCAGGGAATAATTCTCTTTCCAAATGTTGGATCATCTCTACGACAACTTTTCTGCACTAAAGGGGAGGTTTTGGGTTAGAGATGTCCCATCCAGGACAGTATGGATAAAGCTTATTTAAGATCACAACCTGCTTGCACTCCTCCTGAGAGACTTTCAACTCCAAAGAATTGCGATTGTCCATCCCACAAACACTACAGACAAGTTTTATAACACACAGTAAAACAGGGGAACGGTTCCTCCCAACCCCACTTTGCTAACACTGCCACGAGCTACACTACCCAGGACTGCAGCGCTGCAGGGGCGGCTGAGCCCGGCCCTGCCCCTGCCTACTCCTTCATGCGGAGCAGGCCCTGCAGGATGTTGATGGGCAAGGGGAAGACGATGGTGGAGTTCTTCTCGGCGGCGATGGTGGTCAGGGTCTGCAGGTAGCGCAGCTGCAGCGCGGCGGGGGACTCGGTGATGACCATGGAGGCCTCCTTGAGCGCGCGGGACGCGTTCATCTCCCCCTCGGCCGCGATCACCTGCACGGGGAGACAGGCAGCGTGCCCTCAGCCCAGCACCCTCAGTGCCACTCCCTGCTGTTCCACCAGGCTCCTGTTTGCTCTCCCTGCCCTCCCTCCTGCGTTCCTCCCACCCAGACCACAAAAGCTGGGTCTTTGAGCACAGGTCTCGAATGCCAGGGGAGGATTTGTTCTGTCCTCAAAAGCCTCTGTGCTTCTGTCAGCACGGCCTCTCAAGAGCAGCAGCACTGCCCCTGGACAGCTGAGAATACTTTCCCCTTAGAGCTGTATTTTTCTGGATCTACAAGGGCAGAAGGAAATGTGTGTTTCTCACTGGGGAAATACCTTTCTATTCCCTCCTTTTTTTAAGTTCTGGGTTCATTAGGGACAGAATTGTGGCCTTTCTGCATTGGGGCTATAAATAATTTCTGAGTCTTTGTCAAGGACAGCTGGGTTGGAGATGGCACTGTTGTAACATGGAAGTTACTGGTGAGGCAATTCCTGTGTGTCAGCACAGGCAAGGGCACAGTCTCCTACAGAGTCCTCCTGCAAGGGCACAATATTCTTTTAAACATCAGAATAATTAATAATTAAGAAGTTATGAAGTAATTAAGCATCAAAATTAATTTTTAACACAATCTGGCTAGGGAACCTTCACCTTGCACATCACCACATGGAATCATTCACGAAGGAAATACCCTGGTGCTGGTGCCCTTACCTTGGCTCTGGCCTCCCGGGCAGCCTCTGCCTCTGCAGCCATGGCCCTCTGCAGCTGCACGGGCAGCTTCACGTCCTTGATCTCCACACGCTCCACCTTGATGCCCCAGTCATCCGTGGCCTCGTCAAGCGTGGCCTGCAGAAGGCAGGACAGGAAGTTAAGCCACACACCCGGCTCCAACTAATGCCCAGATCTGAGGAATGAGCAATTAAACCAAATGAGTTATCTTAGAATTCCTGGACTTTAGGGCTTTAGTACTTCTATTATGATTTGATAATTATAAGAGCATAACTGTTGTAAGCTAACAAAACCCCCACAGAGCTTGATTAATATCCTGAAGGAATTCTGTGGTATAATTTCCTTCAACAGCAAGAACTGACACAATGATCCAGGGAAGGCCTCCTCTCCTGGATCCCTCATTCCCACTGGTCCATTACTGCTTTAGTCGCCCATTTTTATTTTAGGGAGTGCCATCCCAAGAGATCTTGAACAGGGCTTTGCCTAAAGCTCCAAACCACAGCTCAGGTTATCCCTGGATGTGATGGAGCCCCAAAGCTCGTACATGCATGCTGTGTGCAATCTCCTCCCGGTCAGAGAGGATCTCAGACAGGTTCTTGGTGCCCAGGACGTTCCTCAGGGTGGTCTGTGCCAGCAGGCGGGTGGCAGAGTCGGCGTTGGTGATGTTTGCCACGGCCAGGGTGGCGTTCTGGACCCGGTAATAAACCACCCCGTCCACGTTCACCGTCACCGAGTCCTTGGTCAGGATCTGGACAGCAGAGAATACTCAGTAAATACAAGGTTAGTTATTAGGATAATAACCCATTAGTTTTACTAGACCAGCTCCTGGGTTTTCCACTGTCCTGAAAACAGAAGCCCTTGTGCACATATGCTGCATGTGAACATGTCCCAGTGCTCACAAACCTTCCAGCACAGCTCTGCAAAGCTGAGACTAAATATGGGATTAGAGCACTTCTCAGGGGAAAATACATTCCATGAGCTTTGCCATAATGTTATTTTTAACTCATGTCTTCGAATTCACAGTCATACCAGCAAGTCATACCAGGGCCAGGAAAAGGGAAAAAAGCAGAAATTGTTTACCCTGAAACACAACTTCACCTGGGAAGGTCTAACCTGGGACTCTGGACCCAGGTAGGTCCCTGTGCTGCATTTCAGGAAGGTTTAAGCAGAGCTGTGTGAGAGGCAGCCTGGCCACAGGGACTGGGGGCTCAGTACCTGGGGATTTCCAGACAAGCTGCAGAGGAGATCCAATGTGGGAACATCCTCTGAGTCTGAGCCAAGTGAAACCCTGAATGAAACACTGGTATGTTAAGTGAAGGATGTACTTGCACAGATAAAGACAGGTTTATTTGAAGGGCTGCAAGAGGGTACCCTAGAAAGATGCATTGATGTTAATTCCACTTTAAAGTTAAATTAAAAAGAATTGCAGGATGCTGCATGAACATGGGAAGGGGTGTCCTCATTCCATGTTAGACAGTTCCTATTAGGTTATTTGATGAGAGAGGGATGAGTGAATTACTCAACCTTCAAGACTTACCCTCTCTGCCCCTTCCCAAACCACCTTTCAGCAGGCTTTCCATAACAGCACAAGCCAAAGAATGGGCACCACACACAGAACTCGTGTTGAACACATAAAAATGGGTATCTGCCTCTACCCACAGAACACAAACCTAAATCCATAAGCATAATTTAATCAAGTCAAAGTTAAAACCGTATTACTGATGGCTTCACTAATGGCACATCAGCAGCTGCAAGCACATTCTGCCTGCCAGTGATTAGGTTTCTCCCAATTACCCTTTAGAGTGTATCAGGACAGCTGCCATTTGTCTCAATCCACAAGGAACAACGAGCAACAAGCCAAGGAGCAAATCTGACAGGAAACAGATGCTGGACCAGCCAGGCTGTATCAAACCCCTCTGCTTGAAAAACACGCCAGATACACGAGGATACAGTTGTAACCATCGAGATACAATTGTTCACTAACGGATTTCTTAGAGGGCCCCTTGGTTTTTCTTCTTTGTTACCCATGGAGTTGGCAGCCTGACTTCAGCTGGGTTAATGCTGAGAGACTCTGACACAGAATTAAGAGGTCAGAGGAAAAACAGGCTAGAAATTAATTTTTTTGTTCTTTAGCACCTTCAAGCTGAAAGACATCAGATGCCATGAGGTGTGGTGGTACCTCCTCCCTCACGTTCCAGGGCACAGAAGCCCCAAAGGGAGCTGACCCCTCATTCCTTCAACTTGCTATAAATAGCATTTGATGTATGCACCCATTTCACCCCAGTATTTTAGCTAGTCCATACATCCAGATAAATGGGCACAGGACACATCACTGCTGCATCTGGAAACCTTCCAGATTTCACAGAGGCAATTAGGGAATGTTGTACCAAGCCCAGCACCCCTGGTTCCAAAGCCCTCCCTCCCAGCTCTCAGGCATATTAAATTATCTCATTTGCTCCTCAGAGGGCAGCATCACTTGTTTTCCTTCAGTGCCCTTCTCTTATTGGATGACATTTCCAAGGGATATGTGTATTCTTCACAATATATTGCACCAGCACAAGAAATCTCTGTTTAAACTACACATTCCCCAATACTGAGAGGGGACAAGGAAAAAGAGAGTGCACAGAATTCTGCCAGGGCTTTGTCAGATGCAAACTCACCTCCTGGGGAGGAATATCGAAAGAGATGGTTCTCATATCAACCTTGATGAAGCTGTCTGTGCAGGGCAGGACGAAAAACAAACCTGTGCCAAAAAATGCGTTTGAGAAGATGTGAAAACATCAAAGCAGAGGAAACTCACTGCTGAAATCAGCTGCAATCCCAGCACCGAGCCCGTGCAGCTCTCTGGGAGGAGCTCAGCACCACAACGCTTGTCATGGCTGCCAAACCAGGGCAAGGCTTTCAAAAACATGTGGGGAAACTTCAGTTTGTCCAGGTATCACTTCTTCAGAGATTTTTAACGTTTGGGAAAAAGACCCCAAAGCTGTTAACAGCTGCTTTGAAAAATGCCCCCCAACAGAGTTACTTGTGGGGCCTAATTCTGGCAAGCAGAAAGTATCAACCTCCTTTTGTTCACTGATCATTGAAATCCTTGAGCTTTACAGCAGGGTGGAATATTGCAAAACCTGGGTGAAATGAAGCAAGAAGTTCTTGTCCCTTTCTGTCACTCTGGGCAGCAGGAGCAACAGCTGAAAACAACATTCTTGCAGGTCCCAGAGTTTCTAATGCACACAGGCAACTTTTCAAAACCATCCTTTAATGGTTTCTGTCACTTTTGAAGGGCACCAAGGCTCTCAGACCAACTGGGTTTTAACTGATAGATCAACCTTCTTTTCTTCAAGTGCATTTGATGCCATTATTCCTCCCTTTACATTCAATGCTTTTGACTCCACCTGCACATCACACATTACCAAAGCAGAGCCGGGCAAGGCTCACAGATAATTAGTGTAATTAGCTGCCTTCTCCCCAGAAAGGATGAATCACAGAACACTCTGAGCAGGAAGGGACCCACGAGGGCCATCGAGCCCAACTGCTGTTGTAACACATCCTCTTACTGGAAGTTACAGAACTCTTGAGAAACCCATTCACCACTCTCCTGCAGTGCCCCTGCCCAGCTCCTGCTCTGCCAGTGGCTACTGAGAACAGACCCTCCCCAGGACTTACCTGGTCCCTTGGCTCCCCCTTTCAGGATGCGGCCCAGCCGGAATATGATGGCGCGCTCGTACTCCTTTATGATCTGCAACAGATTGAGGGGTGTCACGCTGGGGTCTCCAGAAGCCACAGGATGGATTCCAAACTATTACTCACCAGTCTAAGACAGCCTTGAGCCTCACATTTAACACACTGGCTGCTCTTGAGAATTTTAGCCTAAACTTTATTGTCAAAGAGCAAAAGGAAAAACCAGGACGATTTTCCACAAGAAATACTCTTCAGACTATCACCAGGATGTCACCTGAGCAGGTCCAGGCACTAGCAGCTGCCATCAGGAATATCCTGGCAACAACACAACAAAGTGCAGTATTTGTGACCCAGCAGGGATTTTTTCCAGCTCCAGATCTGATGCTGTACATCAGCCAAACCAGGAGGAAATAACTCCTCCTGCCTGGAAACTGGAAACACCAAGCTCCAAGTGATCCCAGATGACACAGTGTCTTCAAATGTGTCACATACAGCCACAGCTAGGGACAGACTTGCATATTTATAATGCCACACTTCATACTTAGACATATGCATAGATAGGGATCTCCTTAAAAAAGTAAAAATCAAAGTATCAGTCCTCCAAGAGTAATTGTGGGTTCTTGCAATTATTGTGACTTCCCAGCTTAGCTCACGTGCTAATGACAACGGGGCAGACGTAGTAAAGACGCCAGTGCAGGAATCATTTGGACAAAATATGGTAACAGCACTTTTGTTTTTGGTGTGAAGATGAATGCACTGAAGAGCTGGGTCTGCTACACACTGCCTGCTCCAGTTCAAGAGAGAGCAGGGTGGGATTAATTTGAGTTGAAAACAAGTTACTCAGACTGAGAACAATAATAACCCCTCTGCATTGCTTAAAGCTTTAATCCAACTTAGCAGTGAACAGTTTTACCTTTATGCACATCCAGATGGATATGGGAAATGTAAGAACGGTGAAAACCAGCGAGGTGATCACCAGGATCCATCCACACACACCGAGGCCAGGATCGCCCTCCTCTGCAGGGAAAGAGCAGAAATGTTCCGAGTTTTAAAACCAAGAGTGCCTGTTAAAGAAAGTGCCTAAACTGGGTATTTATGTTGAATATTCCTTGAAATAAGCCACTATTAGCACTATTCCTCTGGCCAAGTGCATTCTGTTTAGCTGAGAAGTCAGATTGTGCCATGATGGGGGGTGTTTCACAGTACAAGAAGTGAGAGAGATGCTGTCTTGTGGGAAACCATCTCCAACCATGCCACTGGAATTTTCTCCTGAGTTAAAATGCTGGGAAGCCCACAGCTCGGATTTATAGACTGCTGTGGTGTGCAAATCAAGACAACCTATAAAAAGCAAAAATTCTCGAGCAATCTCTTTAAGAGATAAATCACAAGGAGAAGGAATATATAAAAAAAATTAATTGAATCAGCCTTCAACGCCTTTGACGCTGACGGGAACAGTCACCGTTACTTTAGCAAGGATTTATCACTTGGATCATCGAACAGTATTAAGAATTTATAATACACACTGAGTGCTGGAGGCTGAGAGGGCAGGGGAAAGTTCTCATTAGTGCTTGAGGTGTGGCACAGCCTCCAGTTGTGATTTACTTCCTCCTGCAAAGGCTCCACAGTCCAAAGGAGCACATGGCTGTCAAACAGCAAAGACGTGCCTGGGCACCAGGAGAGGGAGGACCTTCCCCCAACCCTGCCAACAACCACCTGACTGAAAACAAAATGCTGCTTTCAGTGAGATCTGAAGGTCTTCACAGATGCTCCTCAGAGCCTTTGGCACAAGAAATAGCCAGAATCATGACATCTAATAACCAAATCTATGTCTAATGCCATTTGCCCTGTACTTTATTGTGATCACACATGGGCTGCAGGAGAAACCACATCAGCAGCACGTTTGGGAAGGGCTTGATGTGTCCGAGATGAGGTTGGCACCAGTGTCCATGGTGAGGAATTAATAACTAACATAGTTACAGCATGAAATGCAGATCTTCTCCCAGGATACCAGCACTAACATGTGCCATTAGGCACGAGGCCTAAGCAGGTCTACAGTTATTTATACAACAACTCAGATTACCCAGCCAAAGGCTTCCTATGCAAAGCCATCTTATATTTCCTCCTCCGGTTGCAAACGAGAAGACTATAAAATAAATCATGACTTTTCCGTTGCCTGAACAATGGAAGCAACAGGAAAACAGTCCAGCTTCCAGTGACTGAAACTGCGATTCAGTCAGTTCTGCGATTTCAGTGCATCATCTCCAAAACGCCCTGACCTGGTCCCACTCACACCTGCTGACCGCAAGGCCAAAATCCACTTCATTAATGACACCAAGAACTAATAATTAACTACAACTTCACTGCCCCACTTGAGGAAATGTAACTGATTTCTCCCACTCTCCCCAGTGTCCTCTACAGACCCCTGTGCTGCAGTGACCAGCACCGGTGCTGTCAGCAGCCAGTCCCCGGACTCTGCCCCATCTCGTTTACTGGTGCGGCGCCCCGGGAGTTACTCATGTTGACTCTGCTCCTCACTATTTGCGTAGCTTTCCCCTCAGCGATCCGAGTTACCGCACGGGAAAGGAAATCACAAACAACCCCCGAGCTGCGCCAGCGGGGTGATGCTCCGGCACCTCCCCGAGGGCGGCTCGAGGGGCCGAGAGGCGACGGCACTGCCGGGAATCGACACTTGCGGGAATCACGCCCCGTTAGGCGGGCGGGGCAGCGGGCGCAGCCTCCCGTTAGCCGGGGCTGGGGGCTCACACCCCCCTGTTCACCGCGGCTGGGGGTTCACTGCCCCGTTAGCACAGCCTGGGGGCTCAGAATTCGCCGTCATCGCGGGCTGGGGCCGCTCCGGGGCCGGTCAGACCCCTCGGCGCCCGGGGCTGAAGGAACCGGCGACCGCTCCTCGCTCCTCCCGGCGGGCTTAACTCTGCCGAAGGATCTTCAAACTTTCCTTCGCGACCAAATAAGACAATCGCTGAGTAGTAATTAAAACCGAAACAAACGGAAAAAACCCACCCCAATCGGGGAGACAGACACGAAGGCGCCCCGCGCTCGGAGCGGCCGCTGAGGGGCCGTTTGGGGACAGCCCCCTCCCCGCTCCCCCTGCAGCCGTTACCTGGCGCCCGCCGGGACTTGGTCGGGAGCCCCGCTTCGTGGTCCGCCATGGCCGCCGCGTCCCCTCGGAGCCCCCTCGGCGTGTCCTCGGAGCCTTGGCCGTGCCCGTCGTGCCCTCCGCGCCCCCTCAGAGCCGCCGCCGGCCCCTCACGGCTCCCTCAGCGCCGCCGCCGCCGCCGCCACGAGCCCGCCCCGCCCGCGGAGCTCGGGGTGTGGCCGCGGCCGCCGCGCGCCGCCCGCCCCGCCCCCGCCGCCAGGGGGCGCCCCCCGCGCCTGAGGGGACGGGGAGCGGCCCTGAGGGGATGGAGGGGCCGCCATGGCGGGACCCCCTGAGGGGCTGTGGGGGCGGCCCTGAGGGGACGGCGGGGGTCCCTGAGGGGATGGAGGGATTGCCATGGCGGGACCCCCGCCCACAGCACTGGGCTCGAGGGGCAGCGGCTGGAAGCAGGCCAAGGGGAGCAGGCAGGGCGGGGGCGGCAGCGAAGGCACGAGGGGACGGCAGGGAGGAGCCATCGCCTGAGGTAAGCGAGCCCCGGCAGCCCCTCCTGAGGGGAGCAACAAGGCTGGTTCCAGCTGCCCTGGCCTCGTGTGGGGTTTAGTGTGTGGGTGGAACAACTGTTCCATGAGGAAAGGCCGAGGGAGCTGGGGTTGTTCAGCCCGGAGAAGAGAAGGCTCCAGGGTAACCTTGGAGTCCCTTGCAGTGCCTAAATGAGGCCTACAAAGTCCTCGGCAGGGCCTGCAGGGCCAGCACAAGGGGGACTGGATTTAAGCTAAACGAGGGTTGATTTAGTTTAGGTATAAGGAAGAAGTTTTTTACAGTAAATGAGGGTGGGCAGGCCCTGGCACAGGTTGCCCAGAGAAGCTGTGGCTGCCCCATCCCTGGAAGTGTCCAAGACCAGGTTGGACAGGGCTTGGAGCAACCTGGGAGAGTGGAAGATGTCCCTGCAGGGGGCTTGGAATGACAGGAGCTTTAAGGTTCCTTCTAACTCAGCCCATTCTGGGATTCCATGAAAGTAATATTTTTAATGTGGGAGGTATGGTCTCACATGAAAAACTGACTAAGGAGCATCTTTCAAGCTAATAAAATCTACTTTTTAACTGTTCCATTTGAGTAATAAAATACTAATGCACACCGTATTTCTTTCTGTGATATGCTGAAGTATGTGGCCAAATTGGAAGGGAATTCTGAGGGGAAAAAAACCCTGCTTTTCAAAAATTCATCTCAAGTTTCAGGTTTTATTGATTTTCTTCCTCACATATTGCAGGACGCTGATGGAGAGTTTGGAGCTTTCACCCCTTTTGGAAGATGCCAAGGTTGTGACCTCTGCTGCTTCCCTCCAAAGTCCACCCCACAGAGACAAGGTGAGTGCAGGGCATCACATCACACACAGGCATTGCCTACCAGGTGCTGTAAAGATTGTTGCATTTGATGAGAGTTCCAAGGTTGAGTTCTGTGTTAGCAGTGAATTATGAGGACTGCAGATGAACCCTGGCTATTCTTTAACCTTTACCTCTGGGTGAGATGTTGGCGATCAGTAGGCAGGGAAGGGCACGTGTAGACTCATCTCTCTGGTTGCACTGCTGTCCTGACAGCGTGCAATTACTGACCAGTTCACCCAACACAATGCAGCCTATGAGCAAAAGTGGTGTTAGGCTACTAAAACACACACCTTTATTTCCAGTGTTGATTTTATTCTGTGTAAGACTCTTCCTTGGAAGAATCCACATGGGCAGCCTGAATTTTGCTGTCCCATTATGTACTAGAGCAGCGTGACTGACTGAGGCACGAGTGGAGCACTGAGTGCTGAATGCAGTTCATACCATGCCAGATGACATGAGCAGCATCAAACACCAGTGTTTTCTCCAGAAAGAGGAATGCACCTCATGAACACTCTTTCTGGTGCTGCTGTGAACTCTTACTGCCACTTGTGCCTGTTGATTTCAGACTGATCCAGATGAGCAGTGTATGAAACTAAAGACTAAATCTGGCTCAGGATCCCTGAGTGACCTTTTAAAATTCCCCCTGTCCGTTCTCTTCGCTCAAGGTGTTTGTGGGCAGTTGCTATGAATGCATTTGAGTGCTGACACCTGCTGTTCTCATGCTAGCAATTCCTCAGCATTTGTGTCCCAGTGTCCACAGTCTTGTTGTGAGTTTGCCTGTACTCTTGGGAAATAAAACAACCACATGGGGTCTTTATCCATGGGTAGCTGCAGTGGATATTTCGACATCCTGCTCAAGTGCCTGACCAGGAGCAGCATGGCAGCAAGGTAAGGCTTGAGGTGGTTTGGCTGAGGTGCTCCTCTGAAATATGAGCTCTTAAGATTTTACAAGTCTTTTTTTTCCAACCCAAATGATTCTGTGCCTCTTTCTGTTTCCCTGCCATGTGAGCCATCCATAAGAAAGGTGGACAAAAATGCTAAAGTGTCCCAAACTGCTGTCTGCATTTAACTTATTTTTTTGAAATGTGTAAAAGGGAGACCCTTTGAGCTGTCCAAATGAGAACTGATAAATAATCACTCTGTGCAGGCTCAATTTGTCATCTCCTCACAGCTCTCAAATACCACAAAGAAACTTGCAATGCAGTATATTTGGCCATGAGCAGTAAATATCTTGGTGTTTTAATTAAATTAGAATTTGTGGGATCCCAGGAGCTGGCTGACCCGGGTCTTCTGGCAAATGGACTGTTCAGAGTTTATCAACATGGATAAGGAAGGAAGGGTGTGCTGGAAATGGGAGGGAACAGGCTCTGTAAAAAGAGAAGATAAGCTGTGATGAATCCTTGCCATCCACAGCAAATTTGGCACTGGAAAAACCTATGATAATGATTCTCTGATTCTGCAAGTGCTTTGAAAATGAATACGAATTGAGCATTAAAAAATGTGCAGCAAGGAAGAGGAAGCACCTCTGCATCTGCCCTCTCATTTGAGTGAAAAAGGAGCCATTAAGAGCTGGGAACCTCCCTTTGGCAACACCCAGCAGCACGGTGTGTACTGGGGCACACATCTACCCTGGCCTTCTGCTTAGGAAGAGGAAGTGTCTCTCTAATTTTAGCTGGGCCCACATTCCATGGATTTGACTCCCTGGCCGTGTGCCAGGGCAGTTGGACAGAGCCCAGGGTGGGCAGGGACTCTGCTCTGCTGTGGGGCATTGCTGCCACCTGCTGCCATTCCACACGGCATTCCTGGAGCCTTTACCAGAGTGGGAGCTCTCCCTTCCCCTTCCCCTTCCTCTTCCCTTTTCCTCTTCACTGGAAAATGAGATCGGAACATCTCTCCTAATTGTTGGTTCAGTAACTAAAGGAAGAAAGTAGAAAAAACCAGTGCACTTGCAAATCGATTTATTAATCTCTAGGATTTATGAAGAGAAAAATTGCGTTGGATTCTGCCTTTACCGTTTCCAGAAGTTAGTTTGATTTGAGATACAGGAACTCCTCATTCCTGCCCTGTGGTGAAGGCCTGGTTTATTTAACATTTCCTTGAATTCCAGAGTGTCTGATGGGCAGTTCATTAGAGGGAGGGTTTGTGTGGGTTGTATCAGCCTTGGACACAGAGGGCAGTGCTCTACAATCAGGATATTTATTCACCACGTGCTGTTTAGCAACACGTGATGTTTTGGGAAGCAGCGAACCCTCAGCAGTGCACGAAGCTGCCGTTGGGTGTCAGCCTTGTTTGAGGCTTGTGTGAGCTACACTGATTCTTGTCACCTCACTCTTTTTTAAAACACTCACAGTACATTGTGGTCTCTAATGATTATGGAATAATAGCAAAGGCTATTCCTGATGCTCTCTTGGATTCTCACCTAAAACGTTGCTGGATGGGGAACGTTCAGCTTACCATATATTTCAGCTTTAATGTGAAGGGCACTGCTTTGCATCAGTCTCTCCTTAAACATTTCAAAGTAATCAAACCCAGGATGCAAGTTCAACAAACATTTCCCACGCTAGAAAAGCCTGCACTTCATTTAGCTGCCTATTTTTATACCCTGGGACTGTTTGTTTTCAGTGGAAGGGGAACATGTATATGTGGCTAATAATCCCAAAATAGGCACGTTCTTAAATCAGGTTCCTTTAAACAGAATCATTTCTCCCACATTAAAAGATGCATAGTTTAAAATAGCTTGGAGTCTGGGAGGTTTTATGTTGTTTACACTTAGAGAATCCATATAAAAGACCCCTCAGAGCAGAGCTTGTCCTGAGGGGAGCCTGAGTTTTTGTGGCTGCTGTCCATGTGTTTACCAGGATAATCCAGGGTCCCAGCAGTCTGTGTCCCCCGTGGGGGCACTGGAGCTTTGAAACAAAGCAGTATGTAAAAGAACCTGCATATTTTTTTCCTCCACCTGAAATGCTTTCATTAGGACAAATATCAAGAAAACCTGGTCAAGTTTTCAGCAAATGCTTTTACTGCCCATCTATCTCTGAGCATTTGATGGGTTTTAGAAATCTAGGAAATTCTACAAAGCTGACGCCTTTAAATTCTCTCCTACATTCTGTTCAGGGGTATTTGGGCCCACAAATACAAATCAAAGTCAAATTAAACTGTCTTTGCTGATGGTATTTGCTTACAGGGAGTATATTGGAAATAATTCTTGTTTTCTGAAGCGTTTCTTGTAGCTCAGAGAGGCAGAGGACTGAGTTGTCAAGGCTTTTTAGCAGTCTGAGATCTCTGTCCCAGCCCTGGAGCCAGGCTGGGGTGAGGTGTTGCTCCCCACACCACACTTGTCACCCCCTGGCTGGGGAGAGGGATGTAGGAACCATCCTTGCTGGCTTTGTACTGAGCTTCCACTTCAGAAGGAAATGTCAGAGAACAGGGAAAAAAAATAAAAAAGAGCATAGCAATTTCAAATTTCCAAATTTCCCAGAGCTCCCAGATGAGTTTCTTTGTTTTTTTCCATAGTCAGGGTTCCTGTGAGGCTCAAATTTCCATAACAACCTCTGACAGGAGATTTTAAGTGCAAATGGGACTTCTCTGGTACTCAGAGATTTTACTAGATGACCAGAAATCACAATTTTCCCTGTTGCTCCCCTGTCCATGGCAGCTGCTCTTCTTCCCTTGTCTTTTTATAGAATTATAGAATCATTTAGGCTGGAAAAGACCTCTAAGATCATCGAGTCCA